GGGCAACTTTGGGGAAATCTTGTTGTTAAAGAAATGAGAATTTGAGGAGCTACCTGGCTGAAAGAAAAAGTTGGGTTCTTGTGATTTAAAATTCTGGGAAAAGAGAAATCACTTCTGCAACTTCCGTCTAATTTTGTTGTTCGGTTCAGATTTCAACTGCATGCTGCGTTCTGTTATCCCCCTTTGCTGTTGGATTTTTCTGAATTTCTTTTATGAGATATTTAACATTGTTTTTTATTCTTTTAAATTTTAATAGCACAAATTGGGTAGAGGGCACCGTGACAAAATCCAGCAGTTCATAACAATAACTGGAGCGAGGTAATCTCATAGTCAAATGTAATTTCATGGTTGTTGATGCTAGCTTTCTTGTTTTGTGTTCTTTTCCACTATCGGTTTAACATGAACTTGGCTTTTCCTATGGCAATTTGCTGCAGCTTACTGGTTCCATTATGGTGGCATCTTCTAACTACTTGAGAATGATTTTTGAAATAATAACCATATAAATCTGTTTGACTATGACCACTTTTTCCTCCAAAACACGTATGCTAGGCTTTTTCTTGGGCAACTTTCTTGCTATTTCAATTCTTCAACCAGATTCTGGTTCTGTTTTGAGTGGAGATCAAGCTGCCCATATGTGTATGCTTGTGCATTTTTTTCCTTCATTTTTCTTTTCATATTTTAAAATCTGTTTGATTTTGGATTTGAGAGTTGAGCTTCTTGTTCACTTTTGCAGTCATCTGGTTCAAGTCATCCTTATTTAGGTCACTGATAAGAAATTTTATTTATTTCTTTCTCTTGATTGCAGTGAAAAAGTTGCTCTTCAAGCTTTGAAGGCCAGTGATTGGCATCTTGAAGGAGCTCTTGATGTCTTCTACAGCCAACCCCAAATTAGATCTTTTACTGATACCAGACACTTGGAGGAGCTTTATAACAGATACAAAGGCTAGTTTTACTGTCTTTTTTAGTTCATTTACAAGGAAATTGAAAGTAGAAATTTACCTTCGTTTTGAGCTTAAGAGGTATGTTAGTTGAGTGGCATGTTTGGAATTAGATGGGCCATTCCCAGAGTGTAAAGAAAAATTTCTCCATTTGGTTATTGGAAATATCCATGCTTTCTTCTGATATCATCATGATTAAATCTGGATTCTGGAAGTTCATTTTATATGGCTTGTCCTTCGTTTATGAATTACCTGTGTGGCATCTAAGTAGCCTGCAGAATGCTTTTTGTTAGGTTCTTGAATTACTTTATATTTAGATGTTCTAATTCTAGTATTTTCCACAGATCCATACTCTGATATGATACTGGCTGATGGTATCACACTTCTTTGCAATGACCTTCAGGTTGTTATCTTACATGATTAAGACCCTTTGATGCGTGGGCCCTTTTTTTTTTTTCCTTAAAAGAGGCTCTCTTTTGTATTAGTCTGAAGATATCATGGCCTTTTCATAGTTTAACTTGTGAGCCTTGTTCTTTATGTCAGGTGGATCCTCAAGACATAGTTATGGTATGTATAATAGCTATTTAAGTACTATGTTCTTCATAATAAAATGTATAAGATTTTTTTGATAGTTTTGAAGAATTGTCTTTAAGATTTTCTTATATTCTCTCTGAAGTTCCAATTCTTTTGCATGTTAAAGAAAAAATCAGGTTTGATAGGGATTCTATGATTTCCATGTAGTTGGATAAGCAGCCAAAGTTTTAGTTGAACTTGCTTGAGTTATGGTTCTTCCAAGAGGATAATTAATTTTGGGTCTTATAATTTATTTTCCCTTTTCTTATCTTTATTATTATTTATTCTTAAAAAACTTTTGTCATTCTTGACTAATTCTTTTGACAATTTTTATGCAACTCTTTCTAAATAATTGCTTATGTTTATGTAGATGGACTTAAACATTTTGTACTTGGGAATATTTTGCAGTATCTCCAAGTGCAAGACTTAGTTTTTAGGGAAAGCAAATGAGCTATAAAAGAAAATAATAGTCCTGAACTTTCCATTCATCCATCCAGGCTAGCTTAATTGCTCTATATATATGATGATGGCAGGCTGACAGGTTTTTAGTAAATAAGATTGCATTTATGGTAAAATGAAAACCCTGCCAGCTTCATTCAATTCATGGATGTGAAAATGATCTGGCCTTTGATGCTTGGATTATTTTTAAATATAAATATGGTGTGTCAATTGCAGTTAGTTGTTTCATGGCACATGAAGGCTGCTACCATGTGTGAATTTTCCAAGCAAGAGTTCATAGGTGGATTACAAGCAGTAGGGTGAGTAGATGTGTCTTCATGTCTTATCCACTGTTTGCAATTGAAATGATTTTGATTGGAATTTGAATTACAATGAAAAGAAAACTGACAGAAAGCTATATATTTAATGGCAGGATAGATTCTTTGGAGAAATTTCGGGAGAGGATAACATTTATGCGCTCTGAGCTGAAAGATGAACGTATGTACTGTGATCCATTTTTTAGTATTTAATCATAAGTGTTACTTCTCATCATATTGCAATTGGCTTAAGGGAATTCATTTATTTACATGATAATATTTTTCTGGTTAAGTTTTTTAAGTTGCAAACTGGTTGAGTTGAATGGTATACTATGACTAATATAATAAAGTGTTCTATGTTGTTGCTTACTAAACTAAACTTGAATTTATATTTTCCTTTTGTTAATCTCCAGACAAATTCCGGGAGATATACAACTTTGCTTTTGGCTGGGCAAAAGAAAAGGTATGCCATTTGTTCTGTGTCAACAACCTTAGTATTGGTCTGACTCTAGGCTAATTGAGTAATTAGTTCTGTTAGATTTGCAATATACGACTTAGGTTGTGATATTTTGTTATTGTCTGTTGCAGGGTCAGAAATCTTTGGCATTGGATACTGCAATTGGAATGTGGCAATTGCTGTTTGCTGAAAAGCATTGGCCACTGGTTGATCATTGGTGCCAGTTCTTACAGGTGCTTCTTAGGTTACAGTATGATATTTCTTTCCTGAGTTTGTGAGAAAAATCTGTTGGAATGAATTGTGAGGGAAATATAGCCAGGAGAACTGTATTCATCAGTTCAGATATAGTGATCATTGAGATGAACTGTTATGCATTCCTCTTTGATATAATGAGCAGTAGCCAGTTCTTAGATTTTGGGAAATCCTCTTGAATCAGCTACTGGTTTCTGGTTCTTTACCCACCTTCTGCCTCACAGTTGAAGGAAAATGCTTTCCCTGGTTTGGTTGTAGCAATATATATATATTCACACACACACACACACACACACACACACACACACGCGCGGCGCAGAGTATTGGTTAGGTAAATCTTTAACTGCCTAAAATAAATTTTTGAAGTCAGGAAATTGCAGTGTTATTTACTTACACATTGATTTGGTATTGATTTATCAAAGGTCTGATTTTAGTATTAATATTCTCCAAAATTCCTTCTTCTTGCATGTTTGTACTGATTATTGATATGATTGCTCTTTTGGAAATTCATGTGATTTCCGTACAACTTCTCGTCATATGGTTATTTCTCTTACTCTTATGTGTTATGATGCCACTTCAATCAGGCACGGCATAATAAGGCAATCTCGAGGGACACATGGTCACAACTTTTGGAGTTTGCAAGGGTAAGATAGAAAGCATCAATATTTATAACTGACATCTCCATGCTTATTCACTTTGGTGGCCTTGGTGGCATTATTGTTGAGTACTAATTGTTTCATGCTTCTGGTTATACAGACAATCGATCCTGCTTTGTCAAATTATGATGCTGAAGGTGCCTGGCCATATCTAATTGATGAATTTGTTGAGTACTTGTACGAGAATGGCATCATTCAAAAGGATGATTACAGCCAAAAACAATGACGCCCTGTTTGTATATTATGTGGGGTTCTTGGCTATTCGTCTATAATATGATTTGTGATGTGCTGCCTTGTGAAGTAATTTTCAGATCTTTAGAAAACACGAGACACCAACATGCTTCTTATTTTTGGAGGTTTCTTCTGACAATTGATGCACATTACATTTGAGTCAATGGGATTGGTAACATCGAACATGAATTTTCTTTTAAATTGGAGCGTAGGACTTTAATGTCTGGCTTTACAGGGGCTATTGGTTGTTACATGCCCTTATGCCAACTCCTTATAATTTATCCTTTTTTTTTCTTAATATATGATAAATGGGTTATACAAAAAGAAATAATTTTTCAATTTTTATCATCCCTCTGTGCCTCTCTCAAGAAATCTTCATTTCTCATCATCTTCATCCTTCTATGCCTCTCTCAAGAATTCGAAGCTAAGGTCTTCACTTTATAGTTTTAGGTTTTTAACTAGTTGAAACATTCTCTTAGAAACTTTATGGTTGCTTATGGTGCCACCAATTCTATAATTTTATTGGATTAAATAATTGTTGTTCTACATTTTGTTTTGTTGAGGGCTGAATATGATATCTATAATTTGCCATTGCTATTACTAAACTGCCTAGAATTGAGTATGGACGGGGAATTTGGGATAACAAAATAACCATGGACATCACTATTTATTCAAAACTATTCTTAAGATTCTTAGCAATAAGTTCACACTTTAGCTGTAACTTATATTTAAGGGGTATTTGATGATAATTATTAATCGTAATTTAGAATTTTTATTTGTTTGATTAGTCCAAACGACTAATTTCAAACTTCTACATCAAAGTATCAAA